CCTCCAGAACATCTACAAAATAAACCATTTTGAAGATATACCTTTACTACAGAAGTCTGCAACTAGTATAAAGAAACATCTTGGAGAGAACCAATTTTCAAAAATATCCTTAACTAGTAGAATAAATGGTTATGTGTTCGATGAATTCATGTTCCAAATTGTAGAATTATATTAGCTCAGCAACAAAGTTACTGTGGCACTCTATATATACCTTTTATAAGACAAACTTGTCAGTAGTACAAAATTTAGCATTTTTAGAAGACAAATTTGTCCATAGTATGAAATGTAAGTATTTTTAGTTCAGATTACAAAAACCTTAAAATATAATTTCAAATTCTAGAGAGGAAGCATGTCACCCCCAACCCCGTACGTTCAAGTATAATATGCACCAACATGTCCAAAAGGGGGGTGCCAAATTCTACACACGCTGGAATAATATATTAAATGAACTGTGGGTGGTGTGGTTTGTCTCTAACAGCAGAGAGTAATCTCCACGCTGGTCCCAAAATTTTCAGGGCTATTTCCTTTCAAAAAGTACGTAAAATATAAGACTTTCCCATCTTCAACACCTGTCTCTCTTGATTTGCCGTGGTGTTTTTATGCTGGTGATTATTTTTTGTTGTTGTTGCTGCTGCCTAGTTACTTGCTTAAAACACCACCTCATAAATGTTCTCACAACATTCTCATAGTATTCCTCAATCAGGTGTGCAGGCGCTGCCTAGTTAGGTTCTGCTTTGCCAGAGATTCAGAGAAGTTAAGGACAGAGAGACACCTGATATTTTTGAGACACCTGTCATTACAGTAATTGGCTTCTTACAATAATATCTCACTTGATCTTTATAATCTTACAAATACTATTAGTTTCTCACTTTACAGATGAAAATTTTGGTGCTACAGAAATTTGCCTAAGGTAAGTGAAAGAAAGCAAAACTCAAATGGGCCTGTATGGCTACAGCCCAAATAGAAATGCCTTTTCTGGGAATATGGGTTGAATTCCCAATTACTTTTGGTTAGTGCTTTCAGTGTAACTATTACAAAGTGTCAGCCAGACACATTGTTGGGGTTTTCTGTGTTCGCACTCGGGATATGAAGTGGTATTTTTAGATGGAAAAAATCTCAAAGGAAGGGTATAAGACTAGGAAAGCTTATTTTTTGGACCATGCTTCTTACTTATAAAATGGAGGAGCTGAACTACACAATTTGTATTTCCTTGCTTTAAATTCCTATAAACTCAACATTTCATTGTTAGTTATAAAATAACAATATAAGCTCACTACACCTAGATTTATGACAGTATAGACTTCACATAGATTTATGACAGTTTAGACTTATCTTTTTGATGCAGGAAAGCATACTTTTGGTATAAACAACTGATTAATTTAGTTAGGAAACAAAAATAAAAGGAAGGGCTAGAATATAGCAGTTCTCACTTCTGAGTATGCAAGAAGGGAAATCAGTATCTTGAAGAGACATTATTAACATTTCTACTTGCACAGCAGAATTATTCTTGATAGCCAAGATGTGGAAATGGCCTAAATATCCATCTACAGATGAATGGATAAAAAGGAATGTAGCAAACCAATAAAATGAAATATAACTCACCTTTTAAAAATAAGGAAATTCTGTAATATTCAACAAGTTGGATCTTCAAAGTCTTTACATAATTTCATCATTTGAAGTGATATCTGAAAATATCTAAAAATGTCAATGGAATATGATCAAAGAGTAGAAGGGTGGGTATCTTGGTCTAGGGTGAAGGGAAATCTAGAAGATGCTAACAGACATGAAGTTTCAGTCAAACAAGATGAGCACACTCTAGAGACCTACTGCACAACGCTGTGCCTACAATCAACAATAATGTGTCTTTACTTAAACTTTGTTAAGTGAGGTCTCATGTTAAATATTCTCATCACATTAAAAACCTGGAATTTTATCTTCTTATAGGCTGTTATCAACCCTATTTCTGGAAATGATATAAGTATTAAGTGAACATTAATTTCTTATGGCAAGAAACTTCCAATTTCTCTATGAAAGTGAAAGTGATCTATCTCATAGATATCATCAACATTAGCACCCCTATTTCCCAATGAAAAGCAAGGTCATCATCTTAGTAACATCCTATGTCTCGTGCTGATTCTTGGGTGGATGGTCCAAACATACACTGAGATCAATGAGGTAGGAAGGGAACTCCAAGAAATCAGATTGATGGTGGGAGTGCAGACTGATAAAACCACTATGGAAATCAGTGTGGAGAACCTTCAAAAATTTAGGATTAGAGGTTCCATTCAATCCAGCTCTTCTCTTCCTGGGTATTTTCCCAGAATTAAAAACATCATACCGCAGCAATATATTTGCATCCATGTTTGTAGATATATAATGGTAATAGCCAGATCTTGGAAACAACTCAAATGCCCATCAACTGGGGTATGGATAAAAAAGTACACAATGTGTACTTTGTATACAATGAAGTACTACTCAGCTATAAATAAGGATAAACTAGAGGCTTTTACAGGTAAATGGATGCAACTAGAGACCACACTCATAAGTAAAATAAATGACTCACATGTAAACATCATACCATCTCACTGGTATATGAAACTGAAAATAAAATCCAAAAGTTACAACAGATATAGTGAAAAGGAAACTGTTCAAAGGGAAACCATCCTGTTTGATCAATTTTGCAGGCCTGGGTCTGGTAACCTGAGAAAATATTTTAAAGATAACTATATGCAATACAACATCCACTGTTAAATTTCTATCATCTTGTTTTGAAATCCTGTATCACTTTTGTTTTTGTTGTTGTCAATTGGCTTTTGTTGTTTTTGACTGCTTTTTAATTTTTCTGTGTTTTCTCTTTAAAAGTATAAAAAAATAAGATTGGAAGGTAATTTCACCTGGAGTCATGAGCTCTGCATGTTAAATGTGTGACTACTAACAAGCTGAGCAGTGTGGATGCTCAGACAGTAAGTAGTAGCTCTCCATTCTTGGGACCATCTCAGATTAGAAAAGTCTTTTCTCTTAGTTTAACAAATACAGCCCCATAGTACTTGGAAACATTCCTAGAGTTTGAATATGCAAGCAATAATTTTCAGAGCAACTCCTCCAGCAAGTGCTCTGAAAGTATCCCTTTACCTTTTGTCATTCCAAGGCCAGAACTCAATCCCAATTCATTTGGAGACTGATTGAGAAATCTGTTATGAGATGCAGTTAATGGCCATGAGGCTCTGTAACTGAATGGTTTCCCTTAGTAAAGCAAAATGTGAAGCCCTAGGAGGTTTTTTTGTAGACAATAGCTTAAAAAGTCTGGATAGCAAGGAGAGGCACCTATTAGCCCCAGTACCTTTTTTTTCCCTCTCTATATACGTAGACCATGGTATGTCGCTCCTACCTCAGGATCTCAGCTCAACAGTAAGCCATAACCAAATCCATTTCCTGCTGCTCTTACAGTTCCACTAGATTCTTCAATAGAGACTATATTAAAACTAAGAAGAGCTCTCTTCCAGTTAGAATCACGGAAAGTGTCAAACAGAAGAAAAAAAGGGTTCTTGATGTGCCAGAAACCCTCACATAAAATTGGATTCTATTTCAGAACTGAAGGTAAAGAGCCTAAGAAAGATCCTTGGCCAAAAGGTGCTATGAAAGGCAAGGAAGAAGTTCATATATGAAAAAGATATTACGATAAGGAGTATAGACAGGTGTATAGGCTTCTCTGCCTTGCCTAGCTAGAGGATGTTTCAATGTTTTGGAAGGAAAAGCTGATTTCCTGGCTGAAGTTTTATTTAATATATATCACATTACGGGAAGATAGATAACATTGTACATTCCTTGTACTGCCCCTAACTTCATTCCCCAACACTCACATTCAAGTTCCCTGTTATATTATGACCTATCCAAGCTATTCAATTCAATCCTACAGTGGCTCCCATGAAATGATCTCACAAAACCAAGGTTGTAACTAATGCCTTTCAATAAAATCAAGAAATATTTTGGTATCTTGTCTTGACAATCCAACTTACTGACACTATCCTGAAATCTTTTCTGCCTGGTTGGACAGATGTCTGAAGAAGGTCCATAAGAATGCATTGGTCTTGCAGCAATTTTTCCTTGCACTGTTTTAGGCTAAAAATGAGAAGGATCCAGCAAGCCTTGGCTCATATACTGCCATTCTCAGAACTCTCCATTTATTTTAATTCAAATTGAAACAGCCTAAAGAATGACTAATCTAGGGCCAAGGACAGTTTGATCTGAAAAATGTAAATATAGTTAATCTTACTTGTTGCTAATTATGAAATTTTTCTGCTATGTCACTAACAGCGTGGTAATTAAAAAGTTTATTTAACTTATAGGTATTGACCTATATGCTTCTTATGGCTCCTAAGTATAATTCCAATAAATTCACTACTTGTACAAGGAGAAAATCATAAATTGAGATGAGAAGGGTGACTCTCAACAGAAAGCCACAAGTGCACAACACAAGTTCAGTGTAATAGTTCTTTGTATATGAAGATGCCATCGTACATCTGGAGGGAGAAAACTACATACTGTCTTCTGCATAGGCCTCTGTGAATGTGCTTACAATATTCAAAGGACTTATCATGACAACAGCTGTCTCCTAAGGTATAAGCATTACTACACAGAGGGCCTAATGCCATTTCTGTGGCTTGTTTTGCTTCTTAGACCCTGTCCCATTCACCTTTGTCCACAGCAGCTTAGATGTATAGGCTGTTCAGAAAAGCTGGATTTCAAGCTTAAGCTTAATGCAGAATGACAGATCTCCCCCTTATGTGTGACCTTTTTATATTCCACTACTGAATCAAAAAAGATCAAATCAGGCTTCACAAATAGCTTCTATTATGAAATTCTTTAAAGTATATAGAGTGTAGAATTTGAAAATAAAAATACAGAATGTAAGTAGTTAGTACTAAATATATGAAAATAAGCACAGTCACTATAATTGAGCTACAAAAACCAATACAACTTTAGAAATTAGTAGTCTGGAATAACATAAAGAGAAGTTTATTCAGCTACTTAGCTTTGTAACATAAATTATTATTTTTATGCCCCTGCAATTGTGACACACTAAATTCATCATCTTCCTTCCACATTCTCATCAAAGATAACCTAGAGACTTTTTTCTTAGGAGGGGGGTTAAGACAAGGTTTCGCTCTATAATTCAGGCTGGCCTCAAACTCACAGCAATCCTCTTGCATCAGCCAGCCTTGAGAGTGCTGGGATTACAGGCATGTGCCACCACACCTGGCCAACCTACTCTTAAAGCAAATAATAAAACAGCTGAGTTTTCTGAGAAATTATACTTTTGATGATTCTGATACTACTTATATTTTTTTCTTCTACAGTAATTGAAAATGTTTACTAAACAATTTGCGGTATATCATATGAGTAGCTACAGTACTTGGGATTGTTTTGATTATGTAAGATGATACATTATATACATTATATTTATAGAAAAATTAAGATCAATTTTTAGCCATAAAAGTTTTTTCTTATTCCAAGATTTTTTAAAAACTTTTTTTGGTACCGGGGATCGAACGCATCCTCTCATGCTTGCCAGGCAGGTGCTTATACCACTGAGCTAAATCCCCAGCCCGTACTCCAAACTTTTAACGGCATAATTTGTGTACCTCCAAATAATTACTTTCAATAATTTAAAATATTAAATAACATCACGACTATTTTCTGGTATTCATTTATAACCTACTACTCCAATTGATTATGATGTTATTATGATGTTTGTCATTTATGGCTTTCCTTATTCAACAAATTTCCTTTTAACCACTCAGTACTGTGAATTTAATCAAGATAATAAAGGTCATGCTCATTCCCATCATTATTCATTTATATTGATTCCTGAATTAAAACATCCTCTACTCTTATCATCAAAATTCTATCTACTAACATTATCACTTGAAAGATATTTACTTGTTTAAAAAAGGGAAAAATTAGGACCTTGCTTCATATATCCAAAAATATTAGATGTATTAAAAGCTCTCAAGGTTAAAGTATAGCATAGCTAGAAAAAAATACATGCAAATATTTGAATACAAAATAGTCTAAAATCAATGAAATACTATAGGCAAATGATCACATTTTATAGAAAGAAGTTCTGACATAATAAAAATTACTGAACAATCTGAAATGATTATACAGGATGATACTTTTCTTAGTTCCCCTCTCCAAATGTTTCAAAGAATACCTAAAAGCTCTTTAAAACCAGCAAAACAAAAATATTAGTCACACATGGCTTATAGGGACTGTGCTAGAGACTAAGAAAATAAAGATGTGCAAAAGACACAAGGTCTTCTCATCATAAAACTTAAGCCCAGTGAAAGATAAACATTAATCAAGTATTAATAAAAGGTGTGGTTAAAAAATTAAAGACACAGAGCACGTAAGAGTGCATAAAAGGGTCTCTATCTGCTGAAAATCTGAGATGTATACCTGTCAAAGACTTTGTAAACCATACAATGTGAGCTCTTTAACAATATGACTATATCTTGAGTATTTTTCTTTTATTGTTTACCATTCCGAATCTTACACTTTAAGACTTCTATATTTATTAAATGACTTATTCCCATTAACATTTAAGACTATTCTTTATCCTTTTTCAAAGATATACATAAAATCAGCTTTAGAGAAAATTAGATACATTTTTATTCTTAAACTTTAAAAAACTTACCAATTTATAAAACAATTTCATGATCAATATAATCAGATTTAACAGTAGAATACCATTTAAACATCAAAGGAATAACAAACTTGCTTGCATTTCTTAGAACTGTTCATATAATGTACTAAAGTTATTAAAATTTTTTCACTAATGTTGTAAAAGTTTTTAAAAGCACTATTTTCACACTGTATATCCTGGAAGTTTATTTATTACTAATTCACAGATATCTTTGCACTGCTTGGAAATAGTTAGTGACCCAAGGTCATCATCGTCTTCTTCAAAGTGATCTGATGTACTGCTATCCAGGACCTTGAGTTCTAGTTCTGACAAATTAGATGGCAAGTAGGAACTCAACTGAGATGTCCTTGGTGACTGGCTTCTCTCTAAAGATTTGCAACCAGTTCCTGTTTTAGTGACACCATGACCTCTCTTTATCACCTTAGAATTGTGTATACCATCTTGGTCCATCTGGTTTTCTTTTTCCTCAGTGGAATATGATAAAGACAAATCACCAGTGGAGATACTAGATGTTTCCTCCAAACCTCTGTCCTGTTTCTTTGAAATAACAGATCTTCTTTGTGAGAGTACTGGAGACCCAGCAGAAAAAGGTGGGCTAAGAATAGAACTCTTTTCACTGCTATTTTTCCTTATGGACAGTCTTGCTTCACTAGACTTACTTGTGTTTGAATCATGTTTTGGATTCCCTGCCTTTGAACTGCAATCATGAGCTTGTAAACTTAACAAACTTCTGCTGGTATCCTCAGCAGTATGGAAATCTTCAGAATAGCAAGGGCTAGTGCACCCATTTGAATACTTTAGTTCTGAGATGCTTTCATTGAAACTATTTCTACTTGGTCTATTTTCACTCATATCAGCAGCTAGAATATCCCTATCTGTAGTTTTGACCTGTCCACCACCTATTTCTTTATCTAAAGTTCTGTTGATAGCTTGCTGCTGGAACACAGATGGACTTTGGCCTCTTTTTTCTAATTTTCCTCCTATAGTATTTGTGTGAGTAAGTCTTTCTGGAATAATAGAATTTATAGAACTTACAATTCCCTCCAATAAACCATTACTGGTTCCATTTTGACCACTGTCAACTGTCTTTTTAGTTCTTTGTTCTGGCTTAATCTTATTCAAGCTTGCCTTATCAGAAGTTCCACTAACCTGATTTGAAGTATTACTATTTTCAACAAGAGATGTATCTCCATCTAAACAATCACTTTTAGGCAGTTGTGGCTGCTGACTTTGTTTTGCAAACTTAAGTACTTTAACTTTTGATTTAGTACCTAACATTTGTGCTCGCATTCTTCTGTAGTGTTCTCTCTTTTCCTGTACTACCAACATATCAGGATTTGTTTGCTTTAAACGTAGTCTTAGAGTATTTGTTAAACCATAAAGTAGTCTCCTCCTTGTAACTCTTGTTTGGGAATTCCCACTGCTCTTTTCAGAGTATTTATCTTCCTTAAGTGTTTCAATTTGGTTCTTTTGACATTGAAGACTCACTGACTTTTTATGTTCTCCCACAGAAAGCTGATGCTTAGATTCAGTTTCGGTGGACTTGGCATAAGATTCTGGTTCCTTATCCTGAGTTCTATACAACCAGGCTAGATGAGGATGTATGTGTGTAGGACTTGCCATGGGTTGGTTGTACAACAATGACAACTCAATTAACAAAGCATTTAACAAAGGCAACTGCCTTATTGGATTAATTGCACTTTGCTCATTTTGAGGAGGACATGTAGTTTGATTAACTGCTCCTATATCCTGATTATGTGGAGGACTTACAAGAACTGTAGGCCTCTCTTGTGTTGCTGAGTTTGTACATTTTAGAGAATTCGAAAGTGTTGGAGAACTTACAAGGCATTTTTCTGGAAAAGCACCATCTAACTCTTCAGGTACAATCATTTGCAGCTCAGTTGTGATTTTAACCTGGGCAGGACGCACCTTTTCTTGGGTCAAGTGAGTGTAATATAGAGGAGGAGGGCAAAATGTGTTGGTCTCAAGGTCCAACTCTGTGACTTCCTCACTGAGATGGCTGACACAGCACTCACGGCTACCAGCTGAAGCAGCAACAGCCGAGTTGGTTCTGAGGCTCTTAACAAAACCTGCAGTATCTAAGATGGCCTTGCCGCGGAAAACTGTTTTCCCACCATCCTGCTGAGCCGCTGGGGCCCCCGTAGGCTGGTCCCCATCCCTGGGGCGCAGCTCTGGGGCCGAAGAAGGCCTTTGAGTCTTAGGCAGTCTGTGGGGCTCCCGTCGCAGTTCTTGGCACACCACTGTCCCCTCTGCTCCTGCCGCAGGGGCGAGGGGGATAGGCGGCTCTGGAGAGCCGATATGGCTGTCGCCCAGGTCTCTTAGGCGGTAAAAGAGCGCCACTTCCCCAACGCGCTTTCCTGTCGGACTCAGTAAGGCAAAAGTGCCTCGCCGGCCTCGGGCGCTCGGGCCCGTGACCTTGAAGGAGGCGGCGGCCAGATCGACGTGGCAGGCTCCCACCAACTGCGAGTTTTGCGCCTGGGCGGCAGGCAGTTGCAACAACGCGACGTGCAACAGGAGGGAGCTCAGGGTGGCGGGGTGCAGGCGGAACAGGCAAGCTTTGCCGCGCCCGAAGCCGATGGCGTCTTTCTGGGGAGCCGGGACAGGCGTAGCAGGCGGGTAGACGAGAAGCGGAGGAAAGTCCAGCAAAAAGAAGGCCACGACAGGGCCCGGGGCGCCTGGGGACTGCGGTCCGGCCTCCAGGCGCACCCAGTCCACAAGCAACTCCAGTGAGAAAAGGTGCTCGGCCCCCTCTGACACGTCGGCCGCCATCGCCGTTACCTAAGAGACGCCGCTTCCGGAAGTCGCAAAGTGAAAGTCGAAGCCCCAGGCTCTCGCGAGAGATGGGGAGAAACCGCGCTGTGCGGTTCTCTCGCGAGCCTGGGGGAGCCGCGCGGCCCCTTTGCTCCTCCTCCCCTTGCGCCCTGGTGTGGAGCCTGACCTGTGTGAGCACTGTTTGATGATAATCTCGAGGCTATCAGCGGCAGAATGGCCTTTTTTTTTTTTTTTTTTTTTTTTTTTTTTTTTTAAGAGGGTAGGGTTTAACACTGCAGATGTTTGTGGTTTGGGAGTCAGGCCAGAAAATGACTCAGGATTCCCCTCCCACCCTATAGTGCAGAGCCCACTAGCCACTGCGTACAAGTGCCTCCAGGGCCTATGGTCAGTGGCAGTATTGTAGCCTTGGACTCCTGGATCATACACTGTGTAGCAGGAAGACACAGGTACAGCATATGTTCTCTTGATGGACTCCCTGACAATTTAAGTCTTCTTCCCAAAGAGTCTAACTTCAGTTTCCAGTCAGAGGGACAAAGTAACTTAGTTATACCAAAACTCTTGCTAAGTCAGTTTAGAGAGAACAAATTCCATTCTGATGAACACTCCCCGCCCCTGCCCCCATACACACCCTTTGGATATCTAACCACCTGGCCATCCTTCAGCAAGAATCTTAAATTTGTTTAACCAGCATTTCCCCCATCCTCCACGGATATCAACTCACTGATGAGAGGCTGGCTGTATTGTCATCTACATTTCACAACCACGGTGGGAAATGGAGATGCAGCCTGCCAGACAGAGGATCCACAGTTGAGGAAGAAATCTATGTGGAGCTCAGTAGGAGGAAAAGGAATTTCATCTTCCTTATTTAGGAATACAGATGGTCCAGACTTAAGATTTTTCAGCTTTACAGTGGTGTGAAAACATATCCATATGACCATTGTGTTTTTCATTTTCAGTTCCATATTCAATAAATTACATAAGATATTTACATAAACACAAATTACATAAGACACATGCTTTGTTTTAAAATAAACTTTATGTTCAACGCTATGTTATGAAATAGGTTTCATGTTAAATGACTTTGCCCAACTGTAGGCTAATGTAACTGTTTTGAGCCTGTTTTAGGAAGACTAACTTAAGCTATGATGTTGGGTAGACTGTACTAAATAAAATACATTTTTAGATTATGATATGTTTAACTTACACTGAGCTTAGGAGGGCATAGTCTTTTAAGTTTAGAAGCATCTATAATTATTTATATTCTTTTCTTCCTTTCCCCATTTAAAACAATATAAAAAAGCCAGAATATCCATAAAAATAAAACAAAACATAATTCCAAAAAGAATATATTTTTAAAAAGGAAATACAACCTGCAATTTTAAAAACAGAAAAAGCTAAGTTAAACACCTTGATTATAATTTAAATCTTGTGGCAAATGCTTGTTTACTATACAAGTTTGTGAGCCTCAGCTCTTCAGAATTCCTGGAGGTTGGGGACATTCTTAGGAAGCAGAGAGTCTTGCTGTAGCTCTCTTTGTTCTACTCTATAGACTCCCAAAGCCTGGCATTTCTGGGTTCTAGAAGAATATATATTCTGGGGCAGTGATGAAGAACCTTTTTCAGTGATACAAACAGCCTGCTTTGTCACATGTGCCACAGATTTACCACTTATTCTGGGGCAACAAGATTTTGATCAGGACAAGTAGACTCTTGTGGTCATTCATGTAGTACTAAGGTCAAATCCTACATAGAAAGACATCTTATCCTAAGACTCAATTAGAAGCTCCAGGAATTTTAAGCCAAATGCACTCCTCTGTTAACTGGGTTACAAATGAATTTTACATCTATTAAACCATGTAAAGTACAAAAATGTTAATAACATTAACCTTAACATATTTTGCCTTTGGTAAAGATAACAAAAACTTCATTTTTCAGAATGAGTGTCCAGTGTTTAAAAGTGAATCTCTTTTTATTTATTTTGAGTCTTTTCATCTTTTTCTCTTACTAAATTTCTGGAGAAGAGGAAGCTATAGTTTTCCCATATGTTGTCCTTAAAATAGAGGCAGAGTTACGATCATAATCATGATCAATACTTTCAATATTGATATAAAGCAGCTGTCAGAAGTAAGTGCAAACAACCTTTTAAAATATTTTGCAAAATGGCATCAGGGTTCTGTATTACATGTTAAGTTTTTATTTTGAATCTGTTAGAGCCTAATATTGGAAATTCATTCACTAAGGAAGAACAATGGAAGTCTGGAGTGTGGGAAGGAAGGCAGGGCAGCAGTTGGAGAATAAATTAAAGCAGAACTGGTGATTCCTGGGAGAGTAACCTAAATCCTACTCAGTTAAATCTCCCTTCCAAAAAGGAAGGGAGAAGCAATCACACAATACCTTAAGGCATTGAAAACTGTCAGTTCATGAATAAACTACAAAGTATGTATGGATGATAAAAGTGGTAAGTGAAAGTGATTTGACTGCCATTGGCAATTAGAAATGTGGTCTAATGGAGTCAATCCAGATTTGAAGGTAAGTAGTCTTGGATTAAAATATCAGCATGTCCATTTCATAAACATGTAGCTCTGGCACAGGTTCTCAAAGTTCAGAGATTTTCTCTCAGGGTATCTCATACATTCTCAACGTGTAGTGTGCATACTTAAATGCAAATCTTTGGATCCCATTCCAGAGATTTACATTTACTCAGGCTAAGGCAGGGCCTAAATACATGTTTTAAAACTAGTGTCCCAGGTAATTCTGATGCAGGGAGCCCCTGTGCTATTCTATGACAACTATCATCCTAGTTTCTGATGCACCATCAAAGATTGTGTTACTATTTGATAAGTCTGCAACAAACTAAATAGTATTATCATGACAATAGAATAGCAGAAAAATGTGTGCATTTATGTATCCTAGCTGCCTCTTTCACACCTTCAAGTTGAAATAGGGGGATGGTCTCTAGCTGTGAAGCATCATGTGAGCGTGCGCCATGCCATGAGGTGCCAATGTAGCAGCAACCCACAAAGATGACTTGAAGAAGTTGCAGACAGCTCTTAGAGCTAGGTTATGAGGATTGTGCTCCTCAATGGACTGAGCCCTTCCTGTAAGATACTGCAGTTCTCATTCTGTTCCAGTGAAGATGGAGCAGATTAGGTATGCCTTTGACAGGTTGCCTTCCAGCCTTCACTTAGGGGTAGGCTGAAACATAACCTAACTCATAAATCCTTTTCTTCCCATAGAAGTAGACAACGTTAGTTATTGTGGCCTAGACTGTCTTATCAAGACTAATGTACCTGGCTCCAACAGGTAATGGAATGAGGTTTTAATTGTGTTTATTTTAAATTATTACTGATATAATTTAGAGTCCCCTAAAAGATAGCCATATGCTGTTTTCATAATTTAACAAGACACCTATTTTTTGAAATCTAGAAAATAAACTAAAAGTCTTAATAACTTTATCAAGCAGATTTCCTTTTTTAATCTTCATGATGACAGATGAAGTTATTGGTATACTCTTGATAAAACCAATGGAACTAACGTGGAAAGGTTAAACAACAAAATTTCCATGTCCAGTAGATGGTAACACTGCAATAGAATTCAGTTCTGCCTCTTTAAAAAAAATAGCTTGTTTTCATCACATCAGATTCTTTTAGTTTATTTGTCCATGCTTAAGGAAAGTATTAGTATATACATTTGAAAAATACACATGGGAATAAAAGGAATATGATGGGGAAAGTGACTCCCAAACTTAGATATCAGATATGCTGAATTTGTGATCTTACAACATCAAGGAATGAAGTCCTGAACCAAAGGAGGAGGTTAGAAGAGTTTTACCAGAAATACTAAGAACAGCACCTAGATTTCCTGGAAAGGTCCCAAGTGGGTGGCCACTAAGGCTCTTTGTCAGAGGTAGTTTATAACAACAAAATAACAATATGAGTATCCCCTAAGTGAAGGGTGGAGGGCACCCTGTCCAAGGCATCCATAGTCAGTCTTCGCTAGAGCAGAACAAAAATTGCACTATGTGGATTAAACAACAGTCAACCTATAGGATTACAAGGATAGTTGCTTAGCTAATATTGATCCAATAAAGAAGCAAAGCACATATCTAAGGTATATGGCAAGCATTATTCTAATTGTAGAAAGAACAAATATTATTGGGAAGGGATGAGAGCATGGATTCAAATGTTCTAGTCACCTACCTATGTGTCGCTACCTATCTGAGCTCACTGGACCAGGGAATGCTCATTGCAGTATAATCTCAAATTGCTGTTTATCTGGAGAGGCATGCCAGCCTGGCTATTACGTATCCATCTTGAAGCTTGGGTCTCTGAGGATTTGCCCCCACCCATAATCTTGGTGTGTCTCATTTTTTGCACTGAATTCCTCAAGGCCCCAATCTCTCTCTCTCTGACTGCCTATTATTTTCTGTCTTACTTGGCTGTCTATAACAGGAACAATTAAACAATGCCACTAGAAAGCAGAAGCAAACACAGGACAAGGTATGTTCCAGAAGAAAACCGACACAATTTGTTGCGGTTTAGATGGACAACACCTCCCCAAAGCCTCATGTCAACAGAGGTGGGGCTTTTGGAATGTAACTGAATCATGGGGTGCTGTGCTCATCAAAGTTGAGAGTACATTAGAAGGTGGGGTATAGTCAGAAAAGGTGGGCCACTGGGTACACAAAGGAAAGGTATATTCCGCATGCCAATTCTTCCCTTCTCTCTGTGTTTCCTGGTCACCATGAAGTGAACAGGATTCATCTGCTAGACCAATCATCCTCTTCCAGACCTTTTCATCATGTTCTTTCTGCCTTGGAGGCAGCTAACCATGGACCGAAAGCCGAAATAAACCTCTCCTCCTTTAAATGGTGGGTGTTGGGTATTTTGTCACAGCAGCAAAAAGGTGACTAAGACATCATTTAAACAACAAACCAAGGGCACAGGAATGGGTAGGGAGAAAGGAAGGCAGCTCCATATTAAGTCAGAATAAGGGACAGAGCCACCAAATGTAATGCACATACTTTCTTTAGAGTCTTAGCCA